TGACCTAGTACTGCACGAGAAATTATGTGGAATATTATACTGAAGAACATATCTTTTCCCAGCGTGCATATACGTCTTGGACAAGGGAAGTTAATTATGTTTAGCTCTACTACGCATTTTTTGGATATTTTATATTGAAACCTGCCAATATGAACAAGTTTAAACGAATACAGATAATGTATTATTTCTTTTATTTTCATCGTTTTATAACTTTGAAATGCATATGGTAAAGAACATGATCGTCAGATTGTTTCAGTGAAATGCAGCCTTCCAAGCTGTTCCAAAAGCGACACCAAAATCCTCCGATTGTTGTGCAGTAGGTTTCATACATTTGTAACGATTATCTTGTTGTTGTTGATCTTTAGTTGATAAAGGATTTCCACACGATCGTGAGTTAAGTTTCCGTTTGAATACATACGGCTTTCGAAATATGTTTGGCTGTGTATTTACTCGTGTATTGCGTTCATGGAGTGAAACGGCACCTACGATAGGATTTATTTCTCAGAAACGAATTTATATGATGATCAAACATACTTGGTAAATCGGATCGAGTATCTGGATTCTGAAGCGATGCTTCTTCAGAGTCTTTACTAGCTAAATGAGTAGTCGTTGATAATTCAGATACTCTCGTGCTTCGTTTTCTCTTGTAAGAGTGTTGTCTGCTGGCAACGAATTGTATGTAACATTAGAAGATTTTCCATGTCATCTTTGAGCAAACTTATGAGTATATACTGAATATATGCCCGTTGGCACGATCGTTCCTATGTGGATCTCATCAACGAGGTCATTCAGATATCCCTTCTTTTTTCCTTTCTTTTCTGTTTTATTCAATTCTATTGTCCATCCGTCCGAATTCGATCTGTTAGACGAACTAATAAAAATAAAATTTACCTCGAAAGGAAAAGAATATGGACACGTGCGCTTGATACATTCATTTGAATTCGCTTGTAAATTACTATTCATTCTATAGTTATACGTAAAGTACTTACACGCAAAAGATTACTTCTATTGTTCATAATTCATCAAATATATTCGTGTTAAACGACTATTTCGTTTTGATTAATAAGTAAGTGATAATTTACTGCTTAGAAATGACTAGCGATCGCTGTTTTTTTGCTGACTTTTGCGATGAAACTGTTTGTACGTCGAAGCTGAGCTGGATAGCTTTATCGAAATTTAGATATGAGAAGATAGCGCAGAAATGCTTTCCCAGTGCCGAAACTGTTTTAGAAGTTATGCTTCTGCGCAGTGATTTGTTTTTCCAACACAAAGTTGCCATACACAATGCGTTTGTGTGCGATGCCCATCGTAAAGCACTCTTGAAGAAGTTTTGTTTTGTAGAAACAAAAAGTAGATGTAGTGCTTGCTTGAGTGTGAGAAATATCGAAAAACAACACAAGGCTGGCTTACGGAACATTTCCGTATCTCAAGCTATTACACTATTCGAAGTTTTTCAGGTGAAAAACTCTTTTGGCAAACTGATCTGTCGAGATTGTCGTGGTGAAGTTGCGAAGAAAACAGATTCAGTGAGAGAGGAGCTCCATAATGATGCTTTTAACTGTATTTTCGACATTGAATCGCTATGCTGTGAAGATCTCATGGAACAGGACGACGATAAGGTAGATAATGATTTTGATTATCAGCCATTATATGACTTTTCCTTTGGAAGTGAGACGCTGAAAGAGCAAACAGCAGCTTTGAATAATTTTCTCACTGCTTGCGGCAGCAAAAATAAAGTGACTGTAACAACGTCGTACAAAGATCTATCGCATCGTGTGAAATTGAGATATGTGAGATTATTCAGATCGATAACGCAATTAGTCGCGAAGCTGATGACTTCGGAGGATGCCAGTATGTTAATGCACGACTCATTTCGAGATTATGGTGAAGATGAGTCGAATATTGTTTTAGACGGTAATTTTCGTCAAGTGATGAACGGTATAAAGGAAGCATACGCTAATGCTGAGTCATGGGAAGCTAGACGAGAAATCCTTTCAGTTGTTGCGCCGAAAATATCATTAAAACTCATACAACTATTTATACCAGGTTTAACGGGTAGCAGGTTTACTGCAGCACGCTTACACGCTAAAAAGTACTCTGCAGGCTCTCGAATTGAAGAAACTTCAAAAGTTGTGCAACGATTTGATGATCGTCAAATCGCACATTTCCTCGATTTTATTGTATCGCCTCATGTATGTACTGATCTGCCGTTTGGCGAGAAAGTGCTGAAATTGTCTTCTGGTGTTGAGTTATTTGTTCCCAACACGATAAGAAACATGGGTGCAACCCGTATAATTGATCAATATCTCCAGTACTGCCAAGAAATATCTCTTGATTTTGAGCCACTTCGTGAAAGTAGTTTATTTACTATTCTGAATACTTGCAAAGCGTCAACAAGAAAGTCTTTACAGGGTATCAACTACTTTGCAGCTGAGGCTGGAGAAGCGTTTGATGGTTTACAAAAAATGATTGACGATGAAGTTCCTTTACGTAATGAAAGTGAACGACTAATTGAGAATTTAAAACGCGCTCGATTTTATTTGAAATCTGACTATAAAGTACATATATCGAGATCGAGTAATGTTGCTGATCATTGTTGCGTTTACGCGCTAAGTGATCCAAAAAACCGTGACTTCGCGCAAGATTGTGATCATCAACATGATGAATTCTGTATTGAGTGCTCGAACTTAACAGATACTTTGAATGAAATCGAAAAACTGCTAGGAGAAATAGGAAAAGACAAAGATATACTAGACAGAGCGTTAAAAAAATTTCAACTATATCGCGAATCTATTGAAGCATGGAAAGCTCATTTACTAAGATCTATAAATCAAGATTTATGTCGAGAAAATTTACTCGATAAATTGGCGCACAACGAAATATATATAAATCTTGATTGGGCTATGAAATTTCTTCCTGTTAAAAGCCGAGAGCCCCAATCAGAATTTTTCGGTAAAAGAGGTATTAGTTGGCATATCAGTGTTGTCATGAAAAACGGGACAAGCATTGAAGACGATAAAAATACTTCCGTTGAACAAAGTGATATATTTGACGACAGTCAGCAAACCGACGACTTCGAGATGATTGATGTTTCTGAGAAAAACAGCGTTGATCATAACACCACTCATAAAGAAAACAAACAGTCTTTCAAATATAAGATCTTTGTGCATGTTTTTGATGAGTGCACTCAAGACAGCGAAACAGTTCTTGCAATTTTGAGTGACGTTTTATCTCAAATTAAGCAGGCAGACCCACAGATAGAAAATGCTTACGTTCGATCGGACAATGCTGGATGTTATCATTCAGCAAGCACTCTTGCGCTGGCAAGCCGTGTATCAGAAAAGACAGGTATCATGATCCAGCGATTTGATTTTTGTGACCCACAAGGTGGCAAGGGTCCATGTGATCGATATGCTGCTGTCATTAAATCAAATGTTCGTAGATATCTAAATGAAAATCATAATGTAACAACAGCTTATGAGTTTGTTGAAGCTTGCCGCTCATATAAAGGTGTGAGAGGTGTCTTTGCGTCGGAATACCGAATTGGACTCCGCGACAGTGAGAAACGTAAGAAATCCACAATTGCTCAAATAACAAATTATTTTAATTTTCAGTATCAAAGCCAAGGTCTTCTAGTACATCGTTCTTGGAACATAGGTTCCGGTCTCTTTATACCATGGTTACGGTTGAATCGTGAACAGCCCATTCTAGATCTCATATCTAATACAACAGAAAAGCTTGTGCACGAATGGGTTGAGACAAGACAGAAATTTCATGATGAAGAAATCTGTGTAGATGACTATGATGAACAAAATGAAGAATTTTTGTCTATTCCATATATGCGAAAGCGTATATATACTTGTGATGTGGAGCCAGGCTGCATATCAGAATTTATGACGTTTGGTAGATACATGAATCACATAGTTATTGGTAGTCATAAGCGAAAAACTGAAAAACTTTCTTTCAAAGACACAGCTATGAAAATGTATCATACCAAATTAGAAGAATTTGAAAACCGACGAATAGTATCGATGGAGTTGCATTTATCTGACATGACGGATGTTGACGCAACTCCTCCTTCGGAGGGTTGGGCTTTGCCAGTACGCAAGCCAAAAACTGAGTTTACGGACAAGCAGCGCGAGTATCTGACGAAAAAATTTGATGAAGGTGTGTCCAGTATAAAGCACTGGAAGCCAAAAGAAGTTGTACTCGACAGGGAGACGCTGAAAGCAAATGGTAAATTCTACTTTTCGCCTAGCGAGATTTTAACAGAAAGTCAAATTCGGTCCTATTTTTGTCGAATCAAGCGAGATGTAGAAAAAAATGGCTCACGACTACTGTCAAAAAATGACAGTATCGTTCACCAACAGGTTGTAACAAGCACTAGCACCGACAGAGATGATGAAGAAATAGATGTAGAACTGGAGACATTAGTGCAAGATTATTTAGATACTGAGGCCATTTTAGAAGCAAAGGAAATATTCGAAAATCTTACTTTGGATGTGCGGATGGCACTTGACTTTGCTTTTTCGAAAAATTCATCGAACACAACTCCGCCTATGCCACAAATGCGAAATTCATCAGATAGAAAGTGAACTCGGGTTTTCCGAATTGAGTTCATCATAGCGAATAGTGTGTAAATGAGCACGGGTTTTCCGAAGATTATCTTTCGAAATCACGAAGACGCTTGCCAAAATGCGGGTTTTCCGATTTCCATTTTCAAACTAAGAAACATCGGGATACGGGTTTTCCGAAGAATGTCCTTCCTCTTCATAGCAGGATGGGCTCTGCGTGCCGAAGAGGAGAAGCACGGAGAAGAGCCAATTCATCCGTGACTAACAATCCTGCACTTAATTTTCGATCATCAAAAATTACATAGAAACGCTATGATGCATTGTATCTAGTTTGATTATTTTACTTTAATAGAATATCATCAAAGTCTTCAGTTTAACTAGAACCGGTGTCAATTGAAAGATAATATCAAGTGTGAAATATTCCACATAATTTCTCGTGCAGTACTAGGTCG